ACCCAAAGACCTGAGACTCTGCACCCACGTGTGAGATCTGGAAGAAGCTGTTAGCTCTTAGCTTCAGATCACTTCAGATTTTGCTGTAGCCAGCCACTTGGGGAGTGAACCAGCAGACAGATCTTTCTCTCTGTCTCTCCTTTTCTCTGTAAATCTGACTTTTAATAAAAATAAATCATTTTTAAAATATTTTTTAATTGGAAAGTCAAATATACACAGAGGAGGAGAGGAAGAGAGGAATATCTTCTGTGTGTTAAATCACTCCACAAGCATGTGGGAGACCTGAAAGAGACTCCTGGTTTGTGGCTTCAGATTGGCACAGCTTCAATGGCCACCATTGCGGCCACTCGGGGAGTGAATCAACAGACGGAAGATCTCCCTCTGTCTCTCCTCCTCTGAGTATATCTGACTTTCCAATAATAAACAAACAAATAAATACATCTTTTAAAAATTTACTTCAGTGCATAGCTGTGGGCATTGCTGAAACATACCTTCATGGTGACCCTAGGAACACAAATCTTGTGGAAAGGACAGAAAACTAGTGTAAGTGAGAAATGCAGGGTAGTTGTAAGAGTGAGGTGAGTAAAAAGGAAAGATGAGAGATTTCTGGACCAGAAAAGCAGAGTCTAGACATTTTCCTTCCCTCAAAAAAAACATATTCTTGTATAACTTAGACAATAGGTCCTTCACTCAGGCAGAATGAAACATACTCCGCATTTCAACACTCATCCATGTATGTTTGATCTATTAAAAGTAGTTAGTTTTGATAAAATTGTGTGTTGGTCTTGCCTTTGTATTATTCTAATCAACTCACACTTTTTGTAGATCTCAATAAACTTAATTCCCATATGATTAGAGGTCCAAATCAAATAACACAAACCCTTAATAAGCTAATATCTAAAATCTTAAATCATTCAGGACCCTAGAATGCCTCATACATGTACTTAACTTTTAAATGACAGTGGTCTCTTTGTCATCTCCACTGTTTATTTATGCATTGGCTCGTAATATTTGATCTGTCTCATCACGATTACTGACTAGTAGCTAACTTCAGAAACTAACATTTTTTAATCATCAGAAAATTTAGAGAAGAATAAATAAGAACGTGGGTGTCTTCTGGCTTTTAATCTTGGAATTCTTGGTACAGTCAGTGTCTAAGGCAACCTTGGTGGTCAAGGAATATTGTCTGAGTCTTTGGGTTAAACAATAAATGACATTCATGGATTTGCCCATGACTTATCTCGTTTGTGCACTACCAGTCTTCAGTATCATCAGTAATTAGTTTTCAGGTCTCTCATTTCTTTCTTAGAAAGCATCTCGGATAAGCGAAGTCAATAAATTAGAGCAGGCAAACTGCCTAGTGACTGGGACACATGACAGCGCAGAGACAGGTGGAGGGCAGCTTTCTCCTTTGATCACGTGGAGCAGTTTAATTCTAACAGGCCACGTGGGAGTCCTGACTCATGGACGTGCCGAGAGAACCTATGTGCATAGCACTGGAGCTGCTTTGGTTTATACTGGTTTCAGTTTCTGATTTCAAAGCTATGAGGCATAAAAGCAAAAGGAGAATTGTTTCACATTTGGCTTCATCTTTCCCCAGGAGTTTGTCTACATTCTTCCTTGAATTCTCAGTATGAGTAGTAGGACTTCAGCAAGAGAAGGAAAATCATTATCCCTGTGCCCTAAATAGCAGATTTGCACACTGACATATTTCTGCAAAAACACTGCATAGCATCTTCGGCGAATAATCCCCAGGTACAATTCGGTCGTTGTTCTGACTCTGGTGTGTCTCCCAGTCAGTGTTATTAAATCATAGAAATAATACTTGTGAGTCTGGTTACAAGCACCAGGCATTCTTCAACCCACTTCACATGCATTATCTCTTTTAATTTTCATATCATGCTGTGAGAGGAGTTTCCCATTTTGCAGATAGGAAAGATAAGCCACAGACCTCCTGAGCACAGATATGTGTCTAACCAAGCACAAGTTCTTTTCTACCACTTAATCTGACCTCATAGAATTTGGAATGCTTGACGAACATACCATGGGCTGTGTTGTCTTAGCAGGACAAAGGAAAAGCTGCAGTGATCAACCCTTTCATTTCGTGGAAAAGTGGAAGTTTTATTTTTGTAATTGGGAAAATAAGTACTGGCTTTGGGCTTGCCTTGGGAAAGGAATTAACTTGCAAGTGTGTCTTGCCTTAGATTATTTGATAGATGGCATGTAGTAGAGGGTTAATTAGCAAATTAAAGAACTCTCCTGATATGTAGTGTCAGGAATTTTGGTATTCCTGTAAATTCAGCTTAATGTATTCTCAGAATCATAGTTGGATGTAGTAAGACAAGAACATGTGACTGTGAACAATTCATTGTGAAATGACTGATCTTCAAAGCAATTGTTTTTCAAAATGTATCTAACCAGTTACTACCTTTTGGCCTATCTGAGTTACCCAATCACAACACTATCTTTGCTTCTTTGATACCTCATGCATTGAACTGGCATTTGTTTTGGCAAGGTGGGGTATGGAAGACCATCTTCAAAATACTTAGTATCTCCAAAAAGCTCGTGGAAAATGCATATTGTAAGCAAACAATGCACTTCTCTAACATAAAGCACCCCTCATTTAAGAAGAAATTAGTGGCTTGAGAGACATTCTTGCCACTTAGCTACATGTCTGTCTGCTAGGAGAAAAGGGAAATTGTTAGCAAGAAGTTACAAGGTAGTTCCTACAGGGAAGACAAATAAGCTTGCCAAGAAAACTAAAAATGTGCACACAGAAATATTTTGAAGTGATGATTGTTTCCTATGTGTCCCAAGTAATTTCTTTAGTAAGGTAGATCATTTTTTTCAAACTTCATCTTGGTTTTGATTCATATATTAGCTGTGGTTTGCCAAAGAACAGGGTTTTCTGGATCACATTGGAGTGATTGTTAGAATAGTTTATAGCAGGTGTTCTGGGTAAGCTGTCCGAAACTTAGTTACAATGTGAGCCTCCAGAGCCTGAATTGAGACCCTGATGTGATCCAACATCCTCGTCTCATGATGAATCTCTGGATACTTCAACATAGCTTATTCTGAATTTTGCTCAGAAAATGGTGAGGATTTCCCTCAAATTAAGCTTTCCTCCTTGGGACAGTCTTATAATCCCCCAAAGTTGTCAAGGATTTCAGCAGTCTGGTTAGCAATATTGCAAATGAACAGTGTCAGATAACTAATTTCAGAAGGCACTTAAGTGCATTCTCTGTTTCACTGTTGATTTGTTTCTTGTTCTGTCTGTAGTAAATATTTCTAGGATGCTAATTTTTAAAATGTCAGATTTTTGGACAGGAATTTCTTAGTGTAAATAAAGACCTGTTTCCCAACCCACACCTAACAAAATGTTCTTTTTTGTTCACAAAATTCTTCTGAGACTTGGAGTATACATTTATCTGTTCTTGCAACCAGATAGTTTGCATTCACCGCAGGTGATAATTCAGTGCTCCAGTATGATCACTTGGACAAGGTCATATCAGTAATTTCTACCCATGGTCAAGAGGCAAAAATGATTAGGACTCAGCTCAAGCTTCAGAGAAATGAAGCCTTTCTCACTCTTGAATATTTCTGCAACTGGAACAAACTTGTGGAAATCTTGGAAGGAGATGCCTCTGCCCTTAGGTTAACTGCCTTTTCTGATGGTAAACAGTGGATCATGATTTGCATGTTCTAAATCAGAGATATCCAAGTTGAAACTACCTGATTATCCAAAAAGCAAGTTTTAAATAAATTCCATATAGTCTGTCTGAAGTAAATTACATGCAGTTATGTTTGTGGCTGCTAATTAGGAGGACAAATGAAAGTGAAGCTTGAGAAACAGACACATTCTTCCTAATATGATTTTAGTTCTTGGATATGTGTGTCACTCTGAAACATCACGAATTTGGCTGGGAATCCTTACCAAGTCTTTTTCAAGCCTGCTTTTAGAGTATTATTCTGAAGACAACCAGGGCTCCTAACTCCCTGTGATTAGCCCTTAAGTCCATGTTTACCTTTACTTATTTTGGGAAGCCCATAAGTGGAATACACAGGATTTGGTGTAAAGGCACGTAAGTTAAACTACCGCCTGCGATGCCAGCATCCTTTGTGGGTGTCACCTGCTTCACTTCCAATCCAGTTCCCAGCAAATGGACCTGAGAGGGCAATAGAACATGGCTCAAGTGGTTGGATCCCTTCCTTCCCCATGGGATGCCTGTGGAGCTCCTGGCTCCTGGCTTCTGCTTGGCTCAGCCCTGGCTGTTGCAGCCTTTGAAGAATGGACCAGCAGATGGAATATCTCTGTTTCTCCCTTTCTCTGTCACCCTATCAGTTCTGCTTTTCAATAAATAAATCCTTTTTGCTTGTTTGTTTATTCTAAAGATTTATTTGTTTGTTTTTATTGGAAAGGCAGATATATAGAGAAAAGGAGATACAGGAAGAAACATCTTCCATCTGCTGGTTCACTCCCCAAGTGGATGCAATGGCTGGAGCTGAAGTGATCCAAAGCCAGGAGCTAGGAGCTTTGTCTGGGTCTCCCATGTGGGTGCAGGGTCCCCAGGCTTTGGACCATCCTCAACTGCTTTCTCAGGCCACTAGCAGGGAGCTAGATGGGAAGTAGAGCAGATGGGATTAGAACCTGTGGCCACATGGGATCCCAGCGCATGCAAGGCAAGGACATTAGCCACTAGACTACCATACTGGGCCTTAAATCTTTTTTAACAAAGAAAATAAAAAGGCAAAATTACTTTTCCTATCCCAGGCCATCATTTCTAGAAGTAACATGGGAGGTGATATATTTCCCTGTTCCTGAAGACAGATCTAGAGGAAGTAATTAATTGTTAATTTATTATTTCTGTTTTTGTTCCCTCTACAGTCCACCCTGAACAGTAAGGGCGAAGGAGTCTGTAGGGTAGACACTCAATTACAGTGCCTGCCCTTCACCAGGAGTTCAGGCAAAAGTGTCATTGACTCTCAATTTCTCTTTGCAGCCAGTGAGAAACAGATGACCGTGGTGTGTAAGGAGTCTCCCAAGGAGTACCTGCAGCCTTTTAAGGATAAACTGGAAGAGTTCTTCCATAAAGGTAAGAGGTGTGACCAGTCACACACAGGTACTGCTGTGAAACACTGTTAGTGCCGTGAGCCACTCCATGAGGCTTACTCCCAGCTGCATCCTGGCTGACCACAGGCAGCTCCAGTCCTTCATGGGACCATCTCCCTGTGGTGGTCATAGCCTTGGAGGGAGTTATCCTGTGGCTTAATGTAACCTTTGGAATTTTCTTTTTGTTTGATACACTGGTTGACACACTGTGACAGATGTCAATGAGGTCAACTTTTGGACATGTCAGCTTTGACGTTTATGGGAGACACAAAGACAGTATTAGGGTTCAGGGGGAGAGAAGTAGACTAAACTTTGGACGTAGCAGGTTAAGTCAAGGAGATGTATGAGACAGCCTAGAAGAAAAGAAGGAGACATTTACTGAAGTGTCAGAACATCTAAACACAGGGTGTCCCATAATAACCACAACTGACAAAAGATACCCCTGTGCTTTTATAGAACAGCCTATTGTGAGTATTGGGTAAAAGGGCTAGACTTCTGCTAGGGGTTTTCTCACTCATAATATCTTAAGCAGTTACGTTGTTTATGCCTAGGAAGTCCCATGCATTGTGGCTCAGTTGATAAATGGAAAATATTATTTTTACAGAAGCTACAGATCAGTCTAACAATCATGATAATTTGGTTTTTCATTTGTAAATTATATCCTGTTGCCACACTCAAATGCATAGGGTTTATTTGTTTTTATATCTTTTATCATCTTTCCGTACTCAGAATGCCCTTAACTAGTGTTATTTGACAAATCCGTGGTACTTGTTATTGACTAATTTCATTTCCTGAGCAGCATTGAGAGTAATTTTAATGGCACCATTTCTTGTGGTTGCAATCTGCATGGTGTGTGAGCCTTTCCCCTTACATTTTTTTTTTCTTTTTCACAGTGAGCTCTTGTTGATTTCAATTTACAGCTCCATTCAGCACAGCCTTGTGAGGCAGTTTTTGAACTCATGCTTTCCCACCCTTAGATCAAACATGGTCATAATGATATGCCTTCAAAACTGTGATGCTCACATTAAAAGTCCTCATAAACATGGCAGGGATCCTGTAATTGAAAGAAGGTGCTGAGCAACTGATTAGATCCCAGGTATAGATGTTGTAGGTGGTCTTTTCGTGCTGTTAAATTGGTCATTTGTATTTATAGCTTTGGCAGGGAGGGCTGGAAACTGAACTGGCTGTAATACCAGCACTCTCCCACACTTGGCCTTATCTCCATCTTGACTAATGAATGTGACTGAACGAGTCCAGTCCTACTTTCTCAAACTATCCTCTAATGTTCCTTGACCAGCAAAAATTTCTTAACATTAAGAAACTGTTTTCTGGAAAACATTGTTTGCCAAGCTAAAAACAAACATAAGGCAATTCTTATTTTCCACATGGAATGCACAAAGAATTGTGTAAATGACTGGATACTTCGTAACAGCTATGACTATGTCTGTCTGATCCTATTCTAGTTCCAAGATATAATACTCAGCTGCCCCAATATACTACTTACAATCTTTTGAGTTTGTGAAAAGCCACCTGAATCAATTAAAGTACCTGAAGATATGTTTTTCCTTTTTCTGTGGGTTTCTTATCTAAATCCTCTCAGAATTGGTTAATTATGCCACAGAATCTTCAGATATGATACATGTCTGTGATCAGGTCTTCATAATATCATAACATTTTTTTGTGTGTTGGGAATATCCTGTGAGCTTTATCATCTCCAGATGTGAGGATGCAATGCAGTACGCATCTCTACTTGCAAAGATGGACTCCCAGTGAAACTGTTTACTGTATCTTCACAATAGGATGCTGGACTCTCTGCTATTTTCCATGCCCACAATAATGGACATGTGACTGTGTATGAAGAACTCGTACAATAGTAGCTTATACAATAGGGGAACGCAGTGAGGGGGAGGGGATAAGGGAAATCCCCAGGCCTGTGGAACTGTGTCATAAAATGATAATAATAAAAAGAAGTAAACTTAAAAAAAAACTAGGATCAAATTACATTGATGGGGGCCGTAATGGAAACCCTAAAATGAAGAATAAGAACTAGCAGGTAATCTCATGACTTCAGCCTGTAGCAATACTGAATCACAACCTTCTGAGTCACTGTATTAAACAGTTACCTGTACAGTGTGCCCTGTGCATGGAAATAAGCCCTGCATTGTCTTTCTGTTTCGCTCTCTGATTTTTTCTTTTTCTTTTTCTTTTTCTCCCTGCCTCCTCTCTCTCTTCCTCTCTCTCTCTCTTCCTCTCTCTCTCTTCCTCTCTCCCTCTCTTTCTCTCCCTCCCTCTCTCTCTCTCCCTCTCTCTCTTTCTCTCCCTCCCTGCCTCCTTCCCTCTCCCTTGCTTTTGCCCTCCCTGATTCTCTCCCTCCCCACTTTTTCTCTTATTATTCACCCTCTACTCCCTTTTGCCTCATGTCTTTAACTTATCCATTTTTTTTGACAGGCATCTTGCAGGCTGTTTTTTGTTTGATTGTTTTATTAACAACTCTAGTAAAAAAAAAGAAGAAGAAGAAGAATCTTTCTTTTTCTGTTCTTGTCTCTGTAGAGAAAAAAAGTTGCAAAAAGAGTAAAAATGTCTAAAGTCTTCTTATGCATAATACTAATACAAGATCTGTTCAAGATTGCACCTTTGCCCCCTAAAAAAGTAAAGCATATAGACCAATCTCTAGTTTTAGAAATCTAAATAAAGCTAATAACCCATTGTATGGCAAAATGCAATTTATTCCAAAAATGTGAAGATAATCTGATACAGGAAATCTATTAAAATAATGTATCACTGTTAATAGCTCTAGAAAGAAAACTATGAGTCCTACCAGCATTCAATGCTGACAAATGTTTGACAAAATTCAACATCCATTCTTCATTTTAAAGGATCTTTAAAACATTAGTGCATACCCCTAAAAATCTAATTATTTGAAAAGCAAAATATCAGAGAGAAAGAGGAGAGGAGAAGGAGAGGCGCAAAAAGAAGTCTTCCCACCTGCTGGTTGACTCCCTACATGGCTGAAGTTGTCGGGGTAGGCTGGGCTGGGACAAAGCCAGGAGCCTGGGATTCCATCTAGGTTTCCCATGTGAGGGTCACATGAAGCAGTTTCATAAAAGTGTTTGGTTGAAGAGAATCTCTGACATGTTTGAAAGTTCATGTTGCAGGAGGTTCAAACTATCATGCGTTAGCTTGTATAACAAAGTTATATCCAGTGTGATTCATTGTGAAGATTAAGGTTTTATTTGAAAGGAAAAGTTGGAAAGAGTAGAAATGAGAAATGTCAGGTTCTTTAATCTGTTGGTTCACTGCTCAGATGGCCACAACTACCTGGGCTGGGCCAGGCCGAAGCTAGAAACATGGGATTTCGTCCAGGTGTCCCATGGGAATGGCAGTAACCCAAGCACTGAGCTCATCTGCAGCTGGTGTCCCAGGTGCATTCACAGTGAACTGGAACTCAAGTATAACAGCTGAGACTTAAACCATCTATTCATATGGAGTGCTAATGTTGCAAATACTGGCTTAACCCTCTGTACCACAAATCCAGCACCAAAGTAGAGTTTAATCTTTGCAATAACCCTCTGAAACTTATTTTTGTCATTCTTAACTTATACAAAGAAACTGAATTTGAAAATTTTACTAACTTCCTGACTGTTCATCTTTGTGTTATTAATAGGCTATCTTAATAGTTATAAGATCATCTGTTTCCTTCAAGAGCCATGTTAGTACACAGAAACAGCATTGCTTTTCCCCTCAATATCTAACAGAGAAAAATATCAGAGTAATCGATTTGCCTTCACCTAAATTAATACAATGACCCCAAAAACATCTTTCTTAGAGCTTTAAGACCTCCTTAGACCTACTGCAACAATAACAACCAGGTTTCCATTGCAATTTGTAAAGATTTGTGGTGATGTTATTTAAATGTTTTATGGAGTCGGCATTGAGCTCTACATCTTGCATAACAGTTCTTTTGTGATAAATTGCTTCACGAATTGTTGGCCGAGCCACCAACCTACCACTTCCTCTGGCTTTTTCGCAACTATGGTAAGGTTTTAATCTGTGATTGATTGCAGTTGTTATCACATGATTTTCTTAGACTCACTGACTTTTCAGTGATGGAAAAACTTAACATCTTTCTTACCTCTGAGAGTTAATTTTGCAGAATACCTATTTTATAATGCATTCTTTCTGTAGATAATGTGCCATCCTGGAGAGATGCCTGTATTCCTTCAGTAAGACAAATCTTCTGCTTCTAGTTTTTATTATCTTAAAATAATTGACAAGGCTCTTACAAATCCAGGACTAATATATAGAGAATATTTAGAAAAGACCCTGGCACTATACATATATCATCTGCTGCTGTCTTAGTCTTAGTCTTAGTCATTTTGTCACAGTCTCATCAGATGATTCAAAGGTTACGGCTCAGAAAGTCACAGAAGTTTTACTTACCCAGTGGTGAAAACAGCAGTAAACCAAGTTCAAAGGGCAGATACTCTGGAGCTCTGGCCCTCCCTAACGGTGAGTTCTGTATCTGCAGAATCAACCAACTTCACATCAACAATATTATGAGCAGTTGCTATTTGTCATACCATTACTATGAAGTCATAGTTAAGTCTACCATGGCATCTATGTGCACATGTACAGACTTTTAACAAAATCACTATTCTCAAAACAGTGCAGTGCACCAACTATGCGAAGTATTTACACTGTATGAGGGATATTTTAGGGTATACAGGAGGGAGGGTGTGTGCAGTTTATATGCAAATATCCTTTTATATAAGGGATTGGCACATCCTTAGATTTCTTTATTCATTGTTATGCCGTAGGACCAATCAATCTTCTGTGAATTCTGAAGTGTTGATTACAGAGAAAGGTTTTAAGTATTAGAAAGTCATGTTTACCTTGCACATCTCTAAAAGTTAGCCAAAGAAATGGATATAAGCCAGATTTTTGTAGGACTGGAAATCTCCCTTTTGTTTCAATTTGTAAGTT